ATGTCCACGATTTAGCTTTCCCTGATTCCATGTATACACATTTGATGTTGCCTTTTTTTGCCTTTTTTAAGATATTTGCCTATTTTTGCCTTTTCTAACTTTAAAAAAGTGATTATAGCATTTACAATTTTTTTTTTTAAGATTAAAAAATATACACATGCCCATGCGGCTTATAGAAGCGCAGGGACCTCTTGCCAAATTGGTGTTGGAAAAATGTAAATCCGTTTTCTCAGCTAAGGTAGGCTTAGAGACAATAAGGGGTGTGGATAAAATTGTAAAGGGCGAGGAAAATGCCCTTATTCTTGATAATATGAACGTTTCAAACGTTAGAGCGCACATTTAGTACATTCAAGGCTTTTCTTCGTGAAAATCGAATGAAAATGCTGCCGGAAAACTTCAAAATGCATCTTGTGGTTCAATGTTACTACAACTATACAGATAAAAGTTTTATGAGTTAGACACTCGAAAAAAATAAAATTGTAAAAAAGTACAAATCTTTCATATAATGAAACTAGTTAATAGTTTTTATATTTTTACTTGCAATATAAACATTTCTAAAATAAATGTATTTTTTGATTGTTCCTCGAATTTTCTGTCTTTTTTTATTGCCTTATTTTGCTTTTTTGCAATACCTAGTGCCTTTTCTGCCTTTTTCGCTATTTTGCTTTGCATTTTTTTGCCTTTTTTGCAATACCTAGTGCCTTTTCCTGCCTTTTTCGCTATTTTATTTTGCCTTTTCCAGCCTATTTCGTTATTTTATTTTGCCTTTTTTTATAGGTTTTTAGGTCCTAAAAATCCGTTCCCTGCTCATAAGTCTAAATTGGTTATGTTTTAGCTGAGTTATTCAAGTTTTTCTCAAGTCCGTCTTTGAAAAAAGTTCAAAAACAGCGTCAAAAAGCTCATGATTCCGTAGAACATTTTTTTTAAAATATTTTTATGCACACTTTTTAAGCTTAAACTGTTTAGTTATCTGTGGTATTTTTTTCAAAAGATATTTAAAAAAACTTTAAGCGGAAAAGTCTATTTTACGAAATGTTTTCACATTTTATTTACTGACTTTACATTTTTTTCAACGGTTGGCATCCTTTTACATTAAAATAATGCAATTAATTTCGCACAGAAAAAGTAGTCATTTGACCTAATGTGCAGTGGTGCGATTCACTACGTGATTTTAACAACTCTTATTATTGTTAAGTCAGCTAAGTCGTTAACGATAACAAAGGCTGCTTATTTGACGACGTAGAGTTTGGTGTTGTTAAAAAAAAAACATAAAAAGTACGTTCTACAAATTTTTAGTATAGAAAAAAATGCACAGGACCGCTAGCTAAAAAAATATCAAAAATCGAAGAATTTTTGAGCAACATCAAACTTGCACTTTATTGTACTAAAATTTAATGGGCTATAAAACCGCATACTTGATTTCTTTTATTAATCTTATAAAAAACTTGAAGTTTTACGAAAGTTTGTTGAATTTTATTTAAATATTCACAGGGTTTGAAACTAGAGTTTATACGGTTTTAGGTACAGAATACACTATTAAAAAAGTAATATAAATCAAATAACAAAAAAAAAAATAGTTTGTTAAAACTTGTCTATATGTGTTCCGGTTACAATTTTTCAATAGGGCGTAAAACAAATATAGAAAACCGGGAATTAAAAGGTGAAGAATATTTTTTTTTTATCACAGAAACTGAATATGCCTTGAATTTAAAGGAATTGAAAAATTTAAGTTCTCAATTTAATTCGTGTACATCGTTTATTAAAAATGTAAATATCACATATGTATGTATCTGCATATTTAAATATTTCTTTACTAATAATGACACTAGCATAATAAAATTAGTCTTGAAAATACATACATATGTAGATACATACAAAATGTGCATATCGAGTTTTTTTTTTAATATTAACAATCTTATCCATGTTAAATGTTTTTTGTAAACTTTTTATTTACAGCTGCGAGTAAAATATAGCAGGAAATTCAAAATTATGGTGATTGCTATTTACGTGTATTTATTTATTTTTAATAATTTTCATATAATAGTGGCATCTACTATATAGCAACAGAAATAAATAAAAGTTTCAAAGCTTGCACAAAATTCACAAAATAAATCAAACTTAAAAACATGTTTACCAAAATTTCGAACTTTTTATTCAAAATCTTTATAAGATTTTCGGGTATGCAGTTTTGTAGGATCTGCCTCTTTGTAAAGTGCAAGTTTCAAGTCGCTAAAAGTTACCGTTGATTTTTTAGAATTTTTTTTTTGTGGAGGGTGTTGCGCATTTTCTTCCATACAAAATGCTTGTGAACTTTGTGGTCATATGCAACCAATTTGTGCCCATTAGCGGCTAAAATGGGCTACAAAACTGCATAGCCGGAAATTTTATAAAGATTCTGAATAAAAAGTTCGAGTTGAAAGTTAATTTCTGTGAACTTTGCACAAGCTTTGAAACATTTATTTATGTGGTTTCTATATTATAAATGAAAATTATTAAAGATAAATAAACACATGTATATAAGTAGCAAACAACATAATTTTGAATTTTGCTGCTATTATTTTACTGGAAGCTATAAATAAAATGTTACGAAAAACATTTAACATGAAAAACATTGTTATTATTTTAAAACAAATCACTGTATGCACATGTTGTACATATCGTCACCCTTACGCCAGAAGCATGAATATGCAAATTTATCAGTTTTGGAGTTATTGGGTTGACTTGATTAACCTTTGGATATTCTATGTTATACTAAAACCCAGAATACCATGCGTACACGGAAATCACATATTTTACAGTTTCAATTGCATAAGTGTAGAGTTAAGTCTGGTAAAAAAACTTTCTAACTGGATTTCCCAAAATTTTCATTTTTACAAATTCATGTTTCTAGCATACGGGTTACGATATGTAATTTTAATTTGCATGATTTTCA